CACAGATTAGAGCCCTAAATGGAAAGAGAAATGCCAGATATTCAAGCTTACATTAGAAAAGGCAGAGGAACAAGAGACGTTATTGCTGACGCACACTGGATACTTGAGAAAATAAAGAATACCAAAAAGAAATCAATGTGTACTTCATTGATTATAGAAAGACCTTTGACCATGTTAAACTCTGGAATGTGCTTAGGAAAATGGGAATCCCAGAACATCTTATTGTCTTCATGTGAAACTTATACACAAGTCAGGAAGCCACATTCTGGACAGAACATGGAGAGTCAGACTGGCTCCAGGTCAACAAAGGAGACAAGGCTGTATGTTCTCCCCTTATTTATTCAACCTATATGCTGAATATCTATTGAGGGAGACTGGATTGAAAGAGCAGCATGGTTTTAAAACTAGAAGCAGCAGCATAAATAACCTATGCTATGCTGATGACGCTACTCTGTTAGCTGAAAAAGGAAATGTTCTACAAGCTCTAGTAATCAAGTCAAGGAGCTCAGTAAAAAAAATGAGACTGCAATTAAATATAAAGACCATCAAACTAATTACAATAGGTATAGTAAGTAGCCTTGGAACTGACAATGAAGATACTAAAGTAGTGGATTACTTCTGCCTTTTAGGATTGACTATCAACAGTAAAGGAACCAGCATCAAAAAATATGCTGCAGAGCAACAGTTGTTAAGGCAGCAATTAAGGTTTTGGAAAAGAGACTCAGATGCCATGATGTGTCTAGCAAGATCAGAATGAAAGCCAGCTGGGTGACTTTGGGCCAGTCACTCAGTCCAACCCACCTCACATGGTTGTGGGGAAAATAGGCAGGATTACTAGGTATGTTCAGTGCCTTAAGCTGAGAACCTGTCTCTCTTTCTAAAGATGGGGGTTAAAAAAATGTACAGGCAGTGGTTTTCCTTGTGATACTATGGACGTGAAAGATGGACTTTGGAGAAGCAGACTACAAAGAGAACTTTGGTGTTGGAGAAGACTTCTGAAATAGCCAAGAAAACAAATGGATCATAGAAGAAATCAATCCAGAGTTTTCACTCAAGGCACAAATGACCAGGGTCAAATGATCATATTTTGGACATATTAAGCAGAGAATCAGCATTCTTGAGAAGTCCATTATCCTTGGAAAGGTAGAAGGAAAGGGAAAAAGAGGACAACTAGCAGTAAGGTGGATGGACTTGATTACACTGGTGATGGGTGCACCATTGGGAGACCTGAAGGACCAGACTGGAGACAAATCATCCTAGGGAAGATCTTCCTATGTGCTTCCCAAGAGTTGATACCAACTTGATGGTACATAATCAAACTGTTTAACAATGAATGTGAGATGGAAGAAGATAGTAGGTACTGTCCTGACCCTTCACGGGACTGGGGTACACAAAATGACCCACCCCCTCCAAGGAAAAACCTTTTGAAACATCCAGTAACATTTGATTTACGTTTTTTTAAAGAATGCAACAATAGAGACTGCAATCTTAATCATACTTTTTCAAAAACTCAAAGGCTAAATAGTTTATAAAGATGAAACTAGAGCCCTAGAATTTAACTCCTTTACGTTCACAGGACACATTCTAGCCCTTTCATTTCAGAAAATGTAAAGACATCGGGGCCTCTGTCCCTGCCAACCCTTGGATCTCCTCCTTCCTTTCCCTAAAGGAAGCTCAGAGCAGGCTGAGCCAAGGCATCTTTTTCAGTGGCACAAACAGCTCTCTCCAATCCAGCACAAAGGGATGCCTCATACATGAAGTTCCAAGAGGAGATGTGATTCTCTAGCAGAGACTGGTCTGTTCTTCCTTTGACACTTCACTTGGCCTAGAGAAAAAAAAATGGTAGGGAAGTGCAGATCAAGCCCAGGTTAAGATTTTATCCAGTGTTTTAGGTCTTTTTTTTTTTCTTGTTTACTGGGCAACAATGAGAGAGACCATCAAGCCCTGCTTCACTCTATTGGCTGTTACCCTCTTCATCGTTTTTAGCCCCAGCCCCTAGTGTGAAGCAGTGCAAAGAGAGCTTCTGATTTGCAGGTTCTTCCCTGCTTACCAAATCATGCAGTTTTCTCCTAATCTTGGAGGAGGATTAGGAGAAAAGTTTCCCTTAACTCAGCTGGCACCAGCATCAGGCTAAAATATTTAGGGAAGTGGTGGCTGCCTCCAGATGTTAAATTCCAGTTTCCATCTATCTCAGCTAGGATGGCTAATGGAGGAGGAGGAGGAGAGATGTAGTCTTGAGCCTCCCCAGAGCTAACAGGTTCCCTCTTTGGACTATAATGCAACCAGCACATAACACCAGAAGCGTGGAACACATACAGGTAATTTATTTTCTCCTCCCCCCAACCAGCCATTTCCACTGTGACCTGTAGCACCCACAGAGCTGAAGCGATGCGCTGGCCACATTCCAGGTCCGCTGGCACAGCAAAAAGGCCCAGCCCAAAATGCTCATAGGGGAAAAACTCAATGCAGCGTGCTGGGGCTTGGCTCTTCAAAGGACATTTTGCTGAGCAACTGGCCATCCAATTCCATGCCTCCCCCAGGGAGCGGGAAGAAGTTCATCTCGGCAGCCAGTGCCGCCATTGCCGAGGGGTCCTGGCCGAACTGAGCACGCAGCATCATGTCCATTTTTTCCAGCCGCCGCTTCAGCCGCTTTGCTTCGCGCTCCCGGATGAGGCGAGCCTGCCGCTTCTCGGGGGTTTCATTGGCGCGTTTGAGACGCATGGCTTCGCGATCCCTCTGGAGGCGCCGTGCACGCTGCTCATCTGTCTCTTGCATCCGCTGCAGGCGCTTGGCCTCCCGGTCTCGCATGCGCCTCACTTCTCGCTCCTCCGGTGTTTCATTGTCCCGGCGGCTTTTCTTGGCTGTGCGTTCTCGTTCTAAGCGCTGCAGCCTCGCTTCCAGGGGTTCATTCTGCCGCCTTAAGGCCCACTTGCGCACTCCAGGGGCTTGAGCTTCCAGAAGTTTGCGATAAGCCACACAGCTGTTGCACACAAGGAGGATTCCAGCAGGATATACAGCAGGGCTGAGAGCAGCAGCTTTCTCTTCAGTGCCAGAAGAACCCTCTCCGGGAGGGACAGGCAGGGCGTCTCCAGACAGCACCTCTGGCACTTTTTCACTACAGAAGAGCAAAAATCAGCAAAGGCAGGAAGAACTCTGAATTGGCTTCATGGGCTGCGTGTCCTCTGGTAAACAACCACAAACCCCTGAGGGAAGCACCTACTGCAATTAGCCAAAAGATCCCTCAGGTGAAGCCTTTCCTCCACCTTCCACCAGGACCCCGCCAGGATCTCCTACAGCAACCTGGGTCACACTGGCCAAGAACCACCAAAACAAACTCTTCCAAGACTCCTTTTGCCAGAGTTTCTCACCTGTTGAAAGTGGCGTGGCTGGTGAAGCGCGCCCCACATACTGCACAGTTGGACAGCTGGTCCTCAGAGTGGATGAGGAGGTGCCTACCCAGCGACCCCGGGGAGCTGAGTGCTCGGCTGCAGACAGGACACAGGTAGCTCTTGGCACTGACTGCAGCCGCTGTGTGCTGCAAACGAGGCCGGGCTGTGAGGTAAAGGCTCGACTGCCCTGTCCCCGCGAGGGCAGGCTAAAGCCAAGCCATGGAAGAAATCCCTCTTCTGGCAGGGACCGAAGGAGGCCTTCCCAGGGATGGCTGGTGAAATGGCATCCCACGTACACTACACCTTCCCCAGCCGGCATGAGGAAGCTCAGCCTGGAAAGGAGCAAGGGCAGGGGCAGTCCAACTGGCAGAACAGCCTCAGGCGCCCCTCCAGATAGATACCTGGTACACGTGAGTCACAAGCTGTTCCCTGCTGCCACATTCTAGCTGGCAAAGAGGACAGCGCGAGAGTCCCATCAAGGCATCTGGGTTAGTGCTTAGCCCCATCTACAGAGAGAGAGAAAGCCAATGAAAAAAGCAGGCAGGACCGTCCCATCTTCTGGCTATTCCTCAAATAAGCATGACGTGCTTCTGTGACCTGTCTGGACTCTGGCTATATGGGAAAACCAAGCGCATTGTAAAAACAGAATCTGTGCTGTTTGTCCCACAGTGATCAACTGCACGTTCTCTAGAGGCATCCACTCACAAGCGAGCCTTGAAGGTCAGGGGGCTCTTTCTCCCAAACTCATCTGACCAGGGTTTTCCCATCTAACTAGCAATTTGGATTAGCAGCTTAAAGTAAACCGCCTTCTGTACCCTAATCTAAGGCCCAAAAATCAAAGCCTGCAGCCTAGTGGCCTACGCCCCCTAGGCAGTGGCGGCAGCTGCTGCTGCTGCTGCTGCGCTTACCTGGTGAGAGCAAGATGGAGCACCAAGGCTACTCCCTCAAAGCACCTGCCTTAGCCAGTATCTGGGGAAGCCTGTGGTTTCATTTCACCACAACCTGGCTACTGTCCAGGAGAGACACTCGCCTCGTGGCCCAGAGTCCCAGGCTTCCTGTGCCCAAGCTGCTCAGCAGACCCCTGCTCCGTTTTCACGGTCGCCCTCGCTCCGTCCTCCTCCGACGCGGGAGAAGAGACCTCGTCCTGGGTAGTCTCCTCCTCGCCCTCGTCGCTGTCACCTGGAACGCAAACCCGTGGCTCTGGAGCGCGCGCCGGCAGCGCCGGGGCCCCAGCGCCGCAGGACCGAGCGGGCGCCCCTCGCCGCTAGCAAAGGCAACTCACTGCTGCTGGAGGCTTTCCCCGGGGGCGGCGGCAGCTCCTGCCCCATGACGGGAGGCTGGACCCCCAGCAGCCCCGGAAGGCTCTTCCTCATGACCGCCCGCCGCTGGTGCTCCTCCAGCCCAGCCAAGACCTGCTCCCCTGGAAACAAAAGCGGGGGCG